CCAGGAGGACGCTGAGGACCACTACCAAGAAGGAGGTGCTAGCGCTGGAGTCCAAGGCGGAGCCTTCCCAGGTACTGCCCATGGCCTTCCAGGGCTGGGGAGGGGGCACACGGTGGGGGGGCACACTCTGCGGTGGTTGGGTGCAGTGCACCCCGTGGCTGGGTGCACACAGAGCTGCGGATGGAGGTGCTGCCCATACTGACCCCAAATTTTCTTGTAGTTAGGGCCCCAGTCTCCAGTCCACACAGAGGCATCTGGATGTGCCCTGTCAGAGGACCTGCTGTGTCAGGCTTTTTCGAATATCTTGCTTGATGTGGAAGATGTAGATGAGGATGATGGTACTGATCCAACCCTCTGCAGCGCCTATGTGAAAGACATCTACAAGTATCTGAGAGACCTTGAGGTTGGTAGGAGTAGGTCAGAATTGCAAAGGGCATCTGTTGACACTTAAGGTGAACCTGTCACTATAGGTGTGGCTGGGAGCTGGTATTTGCTTTCACCTATGGATTTTCCTGAGGCACTAAGTGATCCCTCAACTTAAAATACAAGATTAAATTGAGCTGGTAACATAAACAGATGTTGCTTGTTAGACCAATCAACTGGTGGTACTAAGTATCATTCTCTTTCTAGCTCACTTCTAGTAAACAAAGAAACATTGTGCCCTGTGGCCTACAGCTATGGGCTATGTCTGTACTGAACCCCTTAGAAGCCTTAAGATGCAGCAGAGGCTTGGCATTGCAAATGCCTCGTCTAAGTGATTAAATATTAACCCTGTTCCTTCCACACAGGAAAATCAACCTGTCAGACCCAAATACCTGGCTGGCCAGGGAATCAATGGGTACATGCGTGCTGTGCTAATGGACTGGCTTGTACAAGTACAGATGAAATTCAAACTCCAGCAGGAGACATTGTACATGGCAGTTGCTATCACCGATCTCTACCTGCAGGTGAGTCTCTTGCCCAGTGCCAGGCAATGCTTTTCCCCTAAGCTAAAGCACAATGTGCATTGGTCAGTAACACTATACATGGTTAGACATGTTACCTTTAACAAAATACAGCTGACTGTCAAACGGCATTTGATGTTGAACTGTATGCACCACAACCCCCTCAGCTATGAACAGTGACTTGATATATCAAAACTGCGTACTTCTCTCTCTCTGATTTGATCTCAAAGCCTTCTAATACCCTTGTAGATGCTGACAGAGGTAACAGATGATGTACAGTTATTCTGTATATGCCAGTATGAACATCCTGCCATACAAGAAATTTCACATTAGCTACCTTAAGAAGCTTTGTTCTGAGCCAAGTCATTTAGATAAGTCTTTACTGTTTCTTACTACAGGACAATGTGGTTCACAAGACTATGCTGCAGCTAGTGGGTGTCACAGCTCTTCTCATAGCCAGCAAATATGAAGAGGTGTTTCCCCCTCATATTGGAGACTTTTCCTATATAACTGATAACACTTACACAAAGCTTCAAATCCGCGAGATGGAGAGGAAGATCCTGCAAGCCCTGGACTTCAGTCTGGGTCGCCCTCTCCCTCCGCACTTCCTAAGGAGGGCTTCAAAGGTTGCAAAGGTAATGGTGAGAATGTGTACTATTGTAAACAGTATCTGTAAAATGCAATACTTGACTGTGGCAGCTTGTTAAAATGGTTCCAAACTTCTGAGTACTGCAACAGTCTAGCAACTGAGCCTGGTTGAGACCTGTCTCCCATGCAGGAACAGATCTTGTTTGTCTGCTTTCAGTCACTTGAGCCATACCCACCCAAAACCAGACTTAAAATTCCTGCCTGGTACTGCAGGTGACTGCTAGACTGCTGTTGAAAGGAGTGGTCCTAGACTATGAGCAGCTCTAAACAGCTCAGAACTGCTGTGTGATAAAGCCCCTTGAATTTCAGAGCCTATAGGTCTGAAAATGTTCACTAAGGAAGTATTTCTTCCTGCTTGGCTAAACAAAGGCTTGACAGGATGCTCTTGCCTTGGAGATAGCCAATACTCTGACTTATTGCAGGTGAACTCCAAGCAGCTTGCTCTGGCTAATTACCTGATGGAGTTGTCTGTTGTAGACTACGATATGGTTCATTTCCCTCCATCCAAGACTGCAGCAGCTGCTTCCTGTTTGGCTCTCAAACTCCTCGGTGGATGTAAGTGGGTAAGTCATGCTTGTCAGACCACCTCCTAGTTTGGGACTCTGTGTGCCTGTGTACCAGCTTAAAAGGCCACTCTGGGCTTAGTGCATGCCTACTGCTTTCCTTGTGGTGTTTCAGCATGTTCTTGTCTTCCTGTGGCCCATTACAAGGGAACAGCAGTAGGGCAGTAATTGTTAACCCTTCCCTATGAGACAGAAGACTGCAGTTGCCTAAGCCCAACAGAAGACAAAGAACCCAGTGTACTCAGATTAGACTAGAAAAAGGCTTCTAGAACAATTGTCCTGGTTTTGGGATAGAGTTAACTTTCTTCCTGATAGCTGGTATAGTGCTATCACTATTGGATTTGGGATGAAAATAATGTTGATAATGTACTGATATTTTTAGTTGTTGCTAAGCAGTCAAGGACTCTTCAGCCTCCCGTGCTCTGGCCTGCCACTGATAAGGTGGTGGGTGCTTGGGGAGTTCGGAGAGGTCATGGCCAGGACAGCAGACCCAAACTGTCCAAAGGGATATTCCATACCAAAACTGGGGGAGTTGTCTGGGGAGGGGCTGCAGCTCAGGAACTAACTGGGCAGGTCAGTGAGTGGTGAGCAATTGTGTTGTCCATCACTTGTTTTGTTTATTCTTTTATTATTATTCTCTTCCTCCCCCACTGTCCTAAACTGTCTTTACCCTTTTTTCTGATTTCTCTCCCCATCCAGCTGCAAGGGAGGGTGAGTGAATGGCAGTGTGGTTGTTTTGGCTATGCCAGGTGAAACCACAACACTAATGACTCCCCTTCCTTTCAGACACCAACTCTGCAACACTACACATCTTACACAGACAGTGACCTTCTTCCAGTTATGCGGCACATGGCAAAGAATGTACTACTTCTGAATGATGGCATTAGCAAGCAGAGGGTAAGAATCTTGCTGTGTGCATGTGGAGTATGTGTGGTTAAGTGTCAATAAGTGGTGCTCTGAAGCTGGCTTAGCTTAGCCACTGCTGTCAGACCTGCTCAGTTCAGCTGAAGGTCTCTGTCTTGGCTAAGTGGCCTGAGCCAGTTGTGAACTGGTCTTGGGTGCCAGCATGGGCTTGCTTGACCTCATGGGAGCTTGGAATAGTATAAGTTTATGAACAGGGTAAACTTAAGGAAACTTACTCCTCTGCAGGCAATCAAGAACAAATATGCCAGCAGGAAAAATGTCAGGATAAGCACCATTGAACAGCTGAGCTCTTCTACCATACGGGATCTAGCTCAACCTCTAATTAGAAATTTTTAGTTCATGTATGAACTGACACAACATTGGAACTATGTACCACTTCTGTATATAATATTTTATTTGTGCATGTTTGCCTTTTAATAAAGCACTTTAGCCTTTTATCTATGTTTTTTGTTATTAGTCCAGTTAACTTTCTCCTACAACCATGCAATCTATGTGGGGGCTGTGAACAGTGGGAGGCATTGTGTAGTCTTTGGGACTAGCCTGGCTGAGTTTGCTGATCTGATACAGGCAGGAATGTTGGCACAGGCTCAGGCTAATGCGGTGGCAGAGAGAGTGCAGCTCTGGTAACTCAATAGTTACTAGCTAAGTTATTCACAAGAACATACTACAGTAAATATAAAGTCTGCTTCTAGGAGAAGGCTGGTCAGAGCGCTGTATCTGTCCTGACTGAGAAGTGGTAATTGTTCCTTGCCTACCCCTCCCCCCATCTTTTTGTCTTTGCCCTGCATACCTTCTGTTTATCTGTGTTCCTGTGCCCACTGCCGCTGAAGGGTGCTTTACTGGGGAATAATCTCAGCAGCCAACGCATGTCCTGTTGATGGCTGTAGGCAGCCCCTGTCAAACAGGGGGCTCGGGCCGAGGCCTGGCTGTCACCGGGCGGCGCGGGGCTCCCCCCACCCCCGCGCCCCCGCCCCCCCCCAC